CCAAAACAGCTCTCCTAATGTCTGAAAGAAGCTCCTTTATGAAGGGAGAAGCGCTCCCGGTGATTTTCTACATCTGCGGTAGAGACGGAGCTGCGCATCTGACCCCGGAAGTTGTTGTCCGTTGCCGAGAGACGAAGGCGGGCAAAACAGGAAAATAATCTAGTAGTGGGCGGACATTGTTCCGGGTCTTCGGTATTTGGCGGAGATGTTAGTGAAGGCGGAGAAGAGGGCGAACTAGAGGAAAAACATGCAGATTCCTCCTCTATTTACAAACTCCTGTGGATGCAACAAGTGGGCGTGGTGCGTCGACTACCGGATCTGACGTCGACAAATTTTTAGAATCGAGCCGTCGACGTCATCGAGGCGTCGCTACAGCCCTAGTGTGTGTGTGTGTGTGTGTGTGTGTGTGTGTGTGTGTGTGTGTCCTCAGAAGAGAAGGTGGCTGTGATGTGATTCCAAATCAGATTCTAGATGAATGTGGGTTGTTGTTCAGTTGTAAAGGATGTTGTTATTAGGTTGGACCAGAGCTCTCAAGTTTAGTGTAAAGTTCAGAGTGGGATCATGGAATTGGATCAGGAATTCCATCTGACAGGAAAAAGATCTCAGCCAACATAGCTGTATTTATCACACTGGATAACTATCTGTGGTTGCATACTGTTCAGTGTACTTCCTGGATGAGTGACTTTTTAAGGACCTTGTATCGGAACCGGACTCAGTATAAGATGATGATCAAACTTGGACTCGGATCAGGGGCAAAAAACGTGGTTGTAAAATAAGCCAGTTTTAGAAACTAAAACATATTACCGTAAATCCTCTAATACAGGCCCGGGCCTGTATTTGACTCAAGCTCATCAAGCTCCAGGCCTTTATTGGAAGGAGGGCCAGTATTAGAGGCAGGCCTCTATTTCTATTTGAGCAAAATGAACTAATGGTTCGCTGGAGTTTTTGACAATTAAAAGTGCCTCCACATTTTCAAAGTTAAACACATTTCTTTTAACAACGGTAGTTCCTGCTTCAGCCCTCTCCCCCCTCCCCCTGCGCAGCGGCCGCAAACTCACTGATGCGCCTGCAGCCTCTCGGAGTTCCTGCTGCTCTAAACATTGAAATAATTATTTCATTTTCTGTTCCTCACTTCTGATGACCTTCAATGGTGTCTGTTTGTTGCAACAGCAGGTACAAAAACTAACTTGTTTTTATTTGACTATTTTTCTGTCCTGTCTGTTTATTATCTTCCTGCATCTCCTCTCAATCCTAAAGAAAAACTGCTACCTGGGTTCATATATATTCACCTCATGAGTTACCTTTGAACTGCAGTTCTAAAAGATCTACCGACCGCTAAAACAGCGGAGCGCTTGCTGTTTGGCGGCTGTATCAGTGATCAGTGCGTCGGAGGACAAGGTGATGCGCGCAGTGCTCCGCTCCACAGCATGCAGCGAAACACATCAGGCGCAAATAAAAGACAGAAAACATTAAAGGAAATGAACTGACATGAACGATCGCGTGTTAAATTAGTTTTTGAGGTGGCGACACCTGATTGTTACTGTGGCCGTGCTCAGGAGGCAGATCTACCGACCGCGAAAACAGCTGAGCGCTCCCTGCTGTGATCTGTGCGTCGGAGGACAAGTTGATGCGCCCCGCTCCACAGCAGCGATACACATCAGGCGCAAATAAAAGACAGAAAACATTAAAGGAAATGAACCGACATGAACGATCGCGTGTCAGTACCTACGGTCTGGCACTTGAGTTTTACCCCCAAAAAGAGAATGTGATCATACGATAATTCAATAGGGAGCGTGGTTTCACAGACGCGGAAGTGATAGCGTCGGTGCTCTAGGAAACCCCCGAGCGTTCGAGCGTCAACGAAGTGACACGGAAATGCCGGGCTTTCCAGAAGTAAGTAAGATAACTTACTATGAGCTGATAGTTCGTTGGATTGATCGGTAGGTTGGAAACTCTGATCGTGAATCTGAAGAAACGATGACTGACTGGTGAGCTGGAAAGGCGACTTCCGTTTATAGCCGCGGTTTGTGACGTAGGTGACGTCTCGTCTCGTCTTCCTCCGCTTATCCGGGCCCAGGTCGCGGGGGCAGCATCCCAACTAGGGAGCTCCAGGTCGTCCTCTCCCCGGCCTTGTCCACCAGCTCCTCCGGCAGGACCCCAAGGCGTTCCCGGACCAGATTGGAGATGTAACCTCTCCAACGTGTCCTGGGTCGACCCGGGGGCCTTCTGCCGGCAGGACATGCCCGAAACACCTCCCCGGGGAGGCGTCCAGGAGGCACCCTGACCAGATGCCCAAACCACCTCAACTGGCTCCTTTCGATCCGGAGGAGCAGCGGTTCTACTCCGAGTCCCTCCCGAATGTCCGAGCTCCTCACCCTATCTCTAAGGCTGAGCCCGGCCACCCTACGGAGGAAACTCATTTCGGCCGCTTGTATCCGCGATCTCGTTCTTTCGGTCATTACCCAAAGCTCATGACCATAGGTGAGGATTGGGACGTAGATCGACCGGTAAATCGAGAGCCTGGCTTTCTGGCTCAGCTCCCTCTTCCCCACGACAGATCGGCTCAGCGTCCGCATCACTGCAGACGCCGAACCAATCCGCCTGTCGATCTCCCGATCCCTCCTACCCTCACTCGTGAACAAGACCCCGAGATACTTAAACTCCTCCACTTGAGGTAGGACCTCTCCCCCGACCCGGAGGTGGCAAGCCACCCTTTTCCGGTCGAGAACCATGGTCTCAGATTTGGAGGTGCTGATCCTCATCCCAGCCGCTTCACATTCGGCCGCGAACCTACCCAGCAAGAGCTGAAGGTCAGAGCTGGATGAAGCTAGGAGGACCACATCATCCGCAAAAAGCAGAGACGAGATTCTCCTGCCACCAAACTCGACACACTCCACACCACGGCTGCGTCTAGAAATTCTGTCCATAAAAGTGATGAACAGAACCGGTGACACAGGGCAGCCCTGGCGGAGTCCAACCCTCACTGGGAACAGGTCCGACTTACTACCGGCTATGCGGACCAAACTCACGCTCCTCTGGTAAAGGGACTGAATGGCCCTTAACAGAAAGCCACCCACCCCATACTCCTGGAGCGCCCCCCACAGGGTGCCCCTGGGGACACGGTCATAAGCCTTCTCCAAATCCACAAAGCACATGTGGATTGGTTGGGCAAACTCCCATGCCCCCTCCATCACCCTTGCAAGGGTATAGAGGTGGTCCACAGTTCCACGGCCAGGACGAAAACCACATTGCTCCTCCTCTATCTGAGATTCAACTATCGATCGGACCCTCCTCTCCAGTACCTTGGAGTAGACCTTTCCAGGGAGGCTGAGGAGTGTGATCCCCCTATAGTTGGAACACACCCTCAGGTCACCCTTCTTAAAGATGGGGACCACCACCCCGGTCTGCCACTCCCTAGGAACTGCCCCCGATGACCACGCAATGTTGTAGAGACGTGTCAACCATGACAGCCCTACAACATCCATAGACTTGAGATACCCAGGACGAACCTCATCCGCCCCCGGGGCTCCGCCGCTGTGTAGTTTTTTGACTACCTCAGCAACTTCTGCCCCCGAGATCGGACAGTCCATCCCCAGGCCCCAGTATTTTGTCACATTTTGTTTTATTAGAGAAAATCTGGGAAGAATAAAATAAAATGATTTCCTCAAAAAGTAGGAAGTGGAAAGAAAACTTTTTGCTCTACTGTGGATTGTGGTTGGAGGGCTGATTCAAAAGTTGCATTGCAACATTATCGTGGCTTAGGTCATGTTACTTTTATCCTGAAAACCTGTTGTTTTCTTTAACTTTTAGGGTTAAACCTAATGAAACAATCACACTGTACACGAGTGGCTGTCTTTGTTCAGCTTTGCAAAGGGGAGAGAGAGTTTTTTTAGGGAAGTGTAACAGAGTACACCTGTGTCTCTGCTAGGGTTGTCACGGTAACCGGTATAGCGGTAAACCCCGGTAAAAAAGTTGACAATAAAAATAACCGTCCAGTTTTTAAAAAACTAAATTATCTCGGTGGGTTTACCGTGGCCGCGGTTTAGGCGCGGTGACCCTTACCAGCCACCGTCGCTTCTGTTGAAGATCCCGCTCGCCGCACACGCACTTTTTAGTTTGCACGGAAGCTGAAATAATGGCCGAAGGAGGAGACCGCAGCGCCCGGGAAATCCATCAGCCCTCAAAGAAAACTAAATCGGAAGTATGGGCGTATTTTGGATTTCTGAAGAATGCCGAGGGACAGTTAATAGAAGACGGCTATCCCGTTTGCAGAACGTGCAGGAAAAAAGTGTCTGCAAAAGGCAGCAACACTTCTAATCTAATGGCACATCTGCGTGACAATCACCCACGTCTCTACAGCCAGTGCAAGGTAAGTCAACATTAGCATTTTAGCTTAAATGCATGACGTGAGGACTTTTGGCTGAGGGAGAATGCAACGAGTCACTATAGACTGCAGCCGCAGCGTCCTCTGCCAGCATTTAAACCGTGTCACGGACACCCCCATATTAAAATGATGTTATGCATTATGGCTCCCATGGCGCAGATGAGTTGGTCGCCACTGCTCACCCTATTATTATGAATTTAATAATGGTTACTGCTTGATGACATTTACCCTAATCTGCAATGATATGATATATCATATCAACTTGAAGGACACAAACCGAGGACAATAATATTTTCCTGATATAGTTTTTTTTGTAGTTGTCTGAAACTGTAACACATTTCTGGCACTATAATTAGTACATTTAATACCCTTGAAGTGATCAACAACGCATAGTTATAATGAAATATTGGAATTAATGGGAAATATGCCTTGAACTTCCTTTAAAATTCCCTGTGAGATAATACATTTTTTGCCAATCCTTTTCTTTGGAGTTAGCAAAAAAAAAAAGGTATAGGCAAACACATCGTATGTATATTGATATGAATAGTTGAATAATTATAATGATTCAAAACATTGACATGGATATTTTTTTAATATATTTTATTTTTGTTTACAGAGAGGAGCAGTGGGACAGACAGCGAGGCAACGGAGTACCGCTACTGGATCATCAGTGACACAGACACTTGAGCAAGCATTCCAAAAACAGACCGATTATGTGCCTGCATCCCAAAAGGCTCAAGAACTGACTGCAGCCATCACCTATTTAATAGCAAAAGACATGATGCCTTTCCGGACAGTCGAGAGACCTGGCTTTCTGAGGATGATGAAGGTTGCCGTACCTCATTACAAAGTGCCTACACGCAATTATTTTTCTAAGACTGAAATCCCAAAAATGTACAACGCAGTCAAAGCTGATGTTAAGAAGAGTTTGGCTCAGGGTGAATTCTTTGCTGCCACTACTGACTTCTGGACCAGTGAAAGAGGGGGTGGTCTACCATACATCAGCTTTACAGTTCATTATCTCACCCCAGACTGGCAACTGGAATCACACTGCTTAGAAACTCAGTTTTTTCCAGAAGTTCACTCTGCTCAAAATATTGCAGTTTTTTGAAAATATGTTGGAGGAGTGGGAGATAAACAAGACAGATCTGGTCTCCATAACCACAGATAATGCAGCCAACATGACCAAAGCCTTTGAAGAGTTTCCAGATGTGTGGCTTGGATGCTTCTGTCACAATTTGAACCTGGCCATTTCAAAGGCTCTGAAAATACAGAGAGTTGAAACAGCAGTAAGGACCTGTCGTCATCTTGTCCAAGGCTTCTCACGGAGCTGGAAGAGAAAGAGAGGACTGAGAGAAAAGCAAGCTGCCCTCACCTTGCCACCGCTGGCTCTCATCCATGACGTTGTGACCCGATGGGGATCGACATACAAGATGCTTGAGCGGTTTATCAGCCAGCAGCAGGCAGTCTGTGCTACACTGGCTGCAGAAAGAGGAGCTTTGCATCTGATGCCCAAGGACACTGACATAATTGTCATGGAGCAAGTCTGCCAGCTCCTTGAACCACTAAGCAAGTTTACAGATGCACTTTGCTCAGAGACACGAGTGACTTTATCAGCCATTAAGCCAGTTCTTGACCACATCACTGGTGATGTCCTGGAGGAAAATGAAGAGGAACCAGCCCTGACCAAGCAGATGAAACAGGCAATGAGAGAAGACCTAAACAACCAGTACACAGAGAAAGCAAAATATGTCATGCAGATGGCTTGTTTCATTGACCCCAGGTTCAAGAATAACTTCTTAGATGCCCCTGTGGATGATGTAGTTGACCGCTGTGTTCAGGAGGCCTTGAAGCTGACCCCTGTACAAGTCAGGCAGGAACCACAAAGCACCAGCAGTAACTCTACAGCAGCAGCAGGAGGGAAAGGCCTTGCTGGGTTACTAAAAAAGATTACCTCAACAAGGCAGCAGCGATCTGAAGAGGGTTCAGGCTCAGCCACCCCAGAAGATAAAGTGAAGGAGGAAGTCAAAGTCTACATGTCTCTGCCATCCATTCCAGCTGATGATGATCCACTGGTGTGGTGGAGGGGCCATGCATCAGAGCTGCCTCATCTTGCCAGGCTGGCAAAAAAGCTTTTGTGTATCCCAGCAACTAGTGTTCCATCAGAGAGAATATTCAGTGCCAGCGGGCACATTCTTTCCTCTCTTAGATCACATCTTAAACCAGAAAAGGTTAATATGTTGACATTTTTGCATTTCAACCTGAAGTAAATGGTCATGCATACAGTCATGATGCTGGTTGCTGGATGAAGCATCTTACTTGTTGATGAAGGAAATATACAATTAGTTCCTTGTCATTGATTTGTTTACTTTTTCAATGCCATTTATACTTGAACATTTGGATTTGATTACATAGTGTAGTAGTTATTTTAGTAATTTGTTTAAAGTGGCTATTTGTTTTAAATACATATTTTTTAAGGTTGACTTGTACAGTGCTCAAGTCAAGTGTGGACTGGAGTTTTAGATTTTCATTTTGATAATGAAGAAAACAAGTGGTGTTTCTTTGATTTGTTTACATATTGTTTATGTTTTGAATGTTTGGATTTGTATAATTTAAACCTGCACTACTGTAACATGTTCCAGAAAAAGAAACTATTTGTTCCTTGTGAAAAGTTGCACTTTTGTTAAGGCTTTGTGTTATTTTAGGTTTAATAAACACTGTTAAACCTTTTCAAAACTATTTCAGTTTGTGTAGAACAGGACTATCAATGCTTTCTGAACATATGCAACACCGTTTAAAAAATACCGCGATAATACCGAAAACCGTGATAATTTTGGTCACAATAACCGTGAGGTTAAATTTTCATACCGTGACAACCCTAGTCTCTGCTCAACTCCAACTCCTCTCCCCCGTGCAGCATGTTTTATTACACACAGAACAAGTCAGGTGTTGCAGGTTATGCATCATGTTGTGACTAGATAGTGTATTGTGGGCATCTTCTGTTATTCTTAAAGAAGGAGTCGGAGACGGAGTTCTCAGCCTAGACAGCATGGTCTTTTTATTAATCTGCTCACAGCTTTCAGGACAGCCAAAAAACAAAAGACCTCGACCAAATGTGGAGTCCTAAATTTATAATTTTTGTCCCTGGCATTACTCCCACAGTCCTTTGACTTTGGACCAAGGATGGGGTGATGTTTTTCACTTCCCAATATGGTCGACGCACCCTCCAGCCCAGAGGTCGACGAGCCCTGTTATCTCTATTTACCCGATATGATCCGAGAGCTCAAGGTTTACTGGAGCTGGTTTACATAAGCTGGACTGAAAAACAGCATGTTAAACTGCATGCACACTGAAACAGCTTTTGGCACCTTCAATCTCAGTAAGCTGTTAACCTAAGGACTCACAATTCAGCTCAATATACGTTGTAGATGACCTCTTGACCTTTTTGGCGACAACAGTATCAAACCATTGACCTTAATCTTTTTGACTGTAGCAGAATGACCCGTCTTAGTCTACAATATGTTATCATGGCGTCAAATGCTAGGTTAAGACAACAAGTGGTTTAGTGACAGTTGTTTCCTAATACGTTCTCAACAGTTCTTTTAGTAGATTACATGAACTGAACACAAACCCTCTTATTGTGAGATAAATGAATACAAAATCCCTAACACCAACATTTTTAACTTGTGTTTATTCTCCTCCTTTAGGAACTTCTCCCTGACTTCTCACAAGGATTAGCGTGGGACACAGATGCATTCTTTAGAACAGAGAAACGGGCAACTTCAGTATACTGGATCCCTCCCACAACCAGCTTCTCATTCCTCCCATAATGCATCAAGTTCTTGGTCTGAAAACACCATGCATCAGTACATTAATGCAAACTCAGGGGTCCAACAATCACAGAGCGCAAATATTTCCTTTCTCAATGGAGTTTCTGCTAACGGACAAATGCCGAATCAGCAGTGCACTGAAGGCCTTCATCTGGAAACTAACCTTTGGAATAATAATTTGAAGGGTTGTAACAGAATGCTTTCTGGTAATCCGACAAACACTTCTAACTCTTTTCCATCACCAACGAGTGGACCTCAGATTCAAACTCTGCAATATTCTAATTCAAATTATGCTAATCAGAGTTTAGCAAGTTATTCCAGCCCAACTACTACATTCCACCACTGGAATCAAACAGCTGCAGTGAATGAGGCGTCCACATCAAGGATTCAGGATGCATCTCATCTCCAGCAAAACCAGTCTTCCCATAGTTACCATCAACCATCAAACGGATATGTTACCCCATATGCAACATCAGCTCCTTCACTTCCCTACCAACAGATGGTCAAGCCAGGCTCATTGACGTCTGCAGCCTCTGAAAATGTCCAAACATATCAAGTGGCTCATTACAACTCTGCACTACAATCCTCATCGATTACACTGGTTCAGAACTTTCCCAACACAAGTGAGAATTCTCAACAAGCAAGAACTCAACCAAACTCATCCTTTTACAACCTTGAAGGTCCCACCAACTCCAGAAATACAAATGTAAACAATCAGTATACTCAGAACCCTTCTCCAAAAAAATCCATCAAACATCCCATAGATTATAAGGCACAACAGCAGCTTCCACCTTCTTATGAAAGCCATTGTTTCAGTAATACATCCAGACAATCCAATCAAACTATGCAACCTGTGACCTCGGCTGGCTCTCGAAGTTGTAACTTGAGTGCTACCCAACCTCTATCACTCCATTCTGTGCAAACTTTACCTCAAGGTGCAATGCCAAGAGGGCCGCTCACTGTAAATCCTCTTCAGCAAAATGCTTTACCGGTGGGTTTCACCATGAACACAGCAGCAGGGGTGAAAGAGCGAGAGAAGCCAGTCGATGTTTCACTCCCTGGCAATAATATGGTCTCGAAACGTTGTCCAGCAGGATTCCAAAATGAGGGTCCATCAGAGAAAAGCTCAGTGAGGATAAATAAGGTTGATGCATTCTTGAAACAGCATCCATATCTAATTAATATATTAGGATATTCTCCAACTGTCAGACCTGCAGAAGACTCTGCTCGGCCAATGCCAGCTCATTCTGTTACCAGGGCTGTTGCTGTTGTGCCACCATTGTCACAGGAGGATGGGCATGCCTCCTCTTACACTCCAACTTGTAATCCTAAAAATATCACAGACATTATACCTGAAGTGGAAAAAGAGGTTGCATTTGTAGAGGAGTCTAATGTGGACCAAGAAGATCCAAATCCAGTGACAGTCAACAACACAGCGGCCAGTGATGGTGCTGTTGTAACAATCTCAGTCTCTGAAAGTCCTAGCTCCTCTCAAGGTTCTGAGCAGGACGGTCTTGGACCACCTACACTGAAATGTTCAGATATACTACCGAGTCAAACCCGTCCTGAGGAACAAAATGAAGTACCTACACCTCCATCACCACCTGTCTTAGAACTTTCTTCCATCCCAACTGTAACCTGGACAATGGATTCTCTAGATAATTTATTGTTAGAAACGGAAAAAGCTCAAGTCAAGCCAAGAGAAGATCCAAAGCATTCAGTCATAGACCAAATACTAAACACATTTTGGAATTCAGACATTGAAACATGCCATAAGTGCTACAAGGAGTTGATGGAATCAAAGCATATTACTTATGTTGCTTTTGTATGTAAACGTATCCCAAAACACTGTGTCATACTATCACAAATTCATCCTGCTTATAAGGAGAACCTCAAACAATACCACGTGCTTAAAAATGATGAGGTGTATTCAGAGCAGCTGTATAAATCGTTGTGGTTGAATGTCAACGATCAGTTGGATGACATTGACAAAGAATTTGGCTTCCCTTGGACTTTGATGCAGCATCATTATGTGCATGAGACTTGCAGCCAGATAAATACAACTGATAAAAATTCTGAACTACTTGCACCTGAGGTGCAGAACAATGTTTCATCACAGCTAGCGTCTGAATCGGTTGATCTAACTGATGATGACGAAGAAGCCTCTCCTGTTGCATCCCCCTCATCAGAAGATACGTCTGACTCAAAGTACTCATTTAAGTTGGATGTTTTGCCTCCAGAAGAAGCCAGAGCGATCTATGAAAAAGTTCAAAATCTGGTT